ACGAGTAGCATGCGTTTCTTCTGCCTGTTGCAGCGCTAACGTTGCACATAAAAAATGCATAAAAACCATCTTGTTTGTCGCATTCTCCCACCGCGAGCCCACAAGAGCTTCAGAAGAACGTACAAGTGCGCTAATCTCCCAAAATAAGCAGCTATTCATTTTTAGAAAGTTGAAACAAAGACAATAAAAGAAGTTGCACAAGCGATCAGTGGGATTTTCTTTGCCAGGACTGATGCAAGCATGGTGCTTTCCAAGAAAAGCGTGCAAAAGGGCTGCTACAGTTTGAAAAAAGTTGAAATTTGACTGCTAAAATTTGATGTCTCGAAGCATCTGAAGCTTATATTCGATAGCGTCTTCTGGCTAAAGAAAACACGTTTTAACTAACTGTCTAGAATACTGCTTCGATTGACCGACTTTAAATGTAGGCCAGCGTAGGTCCAATCTGAATGATAATGGTGGTTTTCCAAGAGGCAAAAAATGGCTGTCAGAAATTTTTTTCTATTATGATTAACAAGACCTCCAAATCAAAGCATTAGAGTAAGCAAATTCCAACACCAAACGGCGTCTCCAAACAAATTTTTAGCAACAGACATGTGTTACGAATGGTGGAAAAAACGTTCTATGCTAAACCGATCGGCACCTACAGCTTTACCTGACACCATCTCAATGCTATTTTCCAGAACAGACCGAAAGCAGCTGTAAGTTTGGAAAAATTTAAGCTGGGTTTTTTGAATTACGAATTAACATGGCCAGGAAACAGAAAAATATAGCACACTGGGAGTGGCAGGATGCGGAATCGACAGTGCAAATCAACTGGGAGCAATGAAAGAACATAGAAAGATGGAATCGGGCTTGACATGGCACGCATCTGTTGTTCTCTTAGAAACAAACAAGGAAGTGAATCGGCCGCTCGGGAATCCAGTTTTGCCTATCGAATTAACTGCTGCATGAAATCTAGCACGGAAGCAGCTAACTGTGACAAGATCAAAATCACTGGGGACACGCACCGGGTGGGCCCGTACAATCATGCGTTTCTGCAGTATTTCGTGCTGCTGTAAGATCGATTGGAGTCCCAGCAGCCAGAATTTGTGGCATACTGGTCCTCGAAGTTCAGGAAATTAATTGTGTAACTACCACGTGGTACTTAGAAGAGGGACGTTCTATTAAAATTTCAGCTTTCCAGCTTTCCCAGTTCTCGAGTTAGCGATTTTCCCGCCAAAAACTTTCACGAAGCTGTACATGAGTGCCACGTGCAATTGTGGGCTGAATTTGAAATCTTTGAGTTCTACGTGGACGGAAAACATCTCAAAATTTCAGCTTTTCTGATTCCCGAGCTAGCGATTTTCCTCCAAAAGCTTTCACGGAACTGTACGTGAATGCCGCGTCTAACTAGGGACTCAAACCTTTGTACACGGGGTGGGAATATCCCCTCAAAATTTCAGCGCCCCAGCTTTTCTGGTCCCAGAATTAGCAGTTTCTCGTCAAAACTTTCATGTAGTCGTACGTGAGGCCCAGAGATGCGTGAGAGTTAGTACTGCTGCCTTGGCCGGGGAAGTCGCCGGCAAAATTTTGGCGCTGGAGTTTGCTTGGTTGTCGAGTTGAAATACCCGCACTTATGCACACACGCACGCACGCACACACACACACACACACACACACACACACAGAAACAAACATACACACATCTCGGTCGTTACAACATGCGTTCTTGCTTTTACATACGTGCAAAAACGCACAATCAGACCAAATTTGATGAGTGATCGTTTTTACGCGTTTTTGCATTATGCAAATTGCAAAAATGCATATTGGGAAGAGGCTGCCTGTGTGTGTGTGTCTGTGTGTTCGCACTTTTTGTCACCAACTTTCAACTCGAGAACCAGAAAAGTTAGAAGGCTGAAACTTTATATGCTTGTGCCATGCGCGACCCCTACATTTAATTTCATTTCCCGCGGACACCTGGGTGCCGCGTACTGGCGCTTTAAAAAAAAATGCAAATTTTTTGGCGGGAAAGGGGTCTCGGGACTACACAAGCTAAGGAGCTAAAACTTTGTAGGGATATTCTCTGTGTATGTACTAGCTAAAGATTTCAAATTCAGCCCCCAGGTATGCGTTGTACTCACGTAAGGGCGTATGAAAGTTTTAGCGGGAAAATTGCTAACTACCAGGAAAGCTAGTACCAGAAAAGCTAGAAAGCTGAAATCTTAGGGGAATGGTCCCTGTCCAATTAAAACATAAGTATTTCAAATTCAGCCTTGAGGTATGCGTGATTCTTAAGTACGGGCACTTAAAAGTTTTGGTGGGAAAATTTCTCACTGAACAGCTAGGTTACTTTTAATGAATGACTGTTAAATGGAAGTTTTACATTTACTTTATGCAAGATTTATGGTAATTTATGCTAGTAACCGCAAAAGGTAGGTGTAAAGCAACAACCGTTCACGCAGTTAATGACCTGAGTACTTCGTGTCCGGTGCAAAAACGCATGATCGTACGGGCCCGCCAGGTGCGTTCCAGCCTGGGTCTGTTAATTTAAACAAAATTCCGAATAAAGACCCAGCCACTAATTAGCAACTGTCAGCCAGCTCCGCGTGCTAATGTGCAGAAGCGGGGAAAAAGGAAAATGAAGCGGATGGTGGAGGCGCGAACTATTCGAAGGAGCACACACAACTGTCCCTCAGCAGTAGTGGTCCGCCAGGTAACGTGCGCGCACTTGTAAGACACAAACATTTTTTGCTCCAACTTTTACTGCTAGTAGCTGAGACGTAGTTCGTAAAAATAAAATGCTCATGACGACCACGACAGCACAGCAATTTTGAAGGGTTTAAGCATGTCATCTCTTCGTCCTTGTCGAACTTTCCGCTTCATCATTGCTTCTGTTTCGTGAAAAACTTATTCTTCACCACTGCTGTCACTTTTCTAACGTCTGGCCTAGTAGTGCTCAGCTCTACAAAAACGTGACAATGCAGTTTCCCACAACAACTTCTGTCCCACCGCTTTCTTAGTGACAGCTTTCTTAATGACCTGCTGACATTAAACACATCACACGTCTGTACTTTGCGATCGTCTAAACGAACATCGCTGTGCTAATTTTCTTCAGTTCCTCCGACACTTCGATTTACACCATTCGGCAGTGGCTCAGGTCCGGGTAGATGTACAGCTGCTTCTGTGATCACCCTAGCCACTTGCACTGGTCTTGGCACGTCTATACTGAGCAGCACACAAGCTTTTCATGCGTCCATTTCCAGTCTACTCATTCGGGAAGCTTTATTTTTGCGGAAAATACCCCACACACTGACAGTGCCGGATCACAACAGCACTACTCTATTCTGCACCACCTCTTGGATAGCCATTCATTAGATGCAGTGAATAATGCAGATGTTTCAAGGTTATTGAAGACGCAGAGCGAGACGATGGAAGATCAGAGGAAAAGCACTTTCCGGGAAACAGTGCTCAAAAAGATGCTCGGGCAAACAGTAACTGTGGGCATTGAACTTTGAAGCGTACGGTGGTAGTGGTTTGGGTCTTGGAGGTCGTAATGGCGGAGAGAGGGAAAGGTTACCGGCTGGAAAGGAGCTGGGACTTCATTTGAAGGTAGGAATTGACGAAAGAGGTGGGGTTTATAGGAGACAGAGTCTCGTATGCTCAGCCTGAAAATTGATGCTAAGGACAAATTGGCTGCTACGCCTAGAACCATACCTAAAAAAACCCAGGCAGGAACGCACCAGGCTTGCTGGTACGATCATGCGCTTTCGCGATAGACTTGAAGCAGTCAGGTCATTAACTGTATGAGTGGTTGTTGCCTCACGTCTACCTTGTGTACTCACTAGCTTTAAATCATTGTATGCTCCGAATAAAGGAAAATGAACAATTTCCGTTTAACGGTCCTTTTTATGT